TTGATGAAGATACTAGAAAATCATGTAACATATTCATAAACATAGTTTGTAAAGATTATTGTAAATTTGAAACTTCTTGTAATTCCGTGGTAGTAGAGATATATTCATAGTAGAAATACGATTCGTAGAAACTGAACCCACAGTTCACCATATTATTTTTTTCCATTTTGCAGAAGAAATGTAGTCACTTTTACCTAAAAGAAAAGCTGTCCTGACCAATGCCAAGCCCTGCTTACAAAGGACTGTGAGCGTGTTACAGAGTTCACCAGATTTTTTTTTTCCTTAAAATGTTAATTTTAATTCAAGTGTATAAAGTTATATTACAATAGAACCAGGTTCTTACACAATCTGAACAACTTCCAGGTCTGCCAGCCCATCTGTGCTGATAATGCATTCACACTTCTACCTAGTCCTCTTCTTCTTTTAACCTGAAGTGCAGAAGTGATACAAGTGAATATGGATTTTTACCTGGTTTTTACACTCTGAAAGATGGAAGGATAATGTACTCCTGAGTGAGATAATCATGCATCTTGAGTTCATGTAAGCAGGTTTGTATGACTGCTACAAACCACTGATTTATAGTTCGAGTTAAGTACTACCAACTAGATTGCAATTGATCATTCTATTAAAGCACATTTCTTCAGTTTTAACATCCGTATTATGCTTACCTTTATCAAAGACCAACTTGAAAAGTTTGTGGTTCCTGGAACCTGTAATTTGATGATGAATTTCAGGTAGGAATTAGAAATATTCAAAGCAGCAGTATTTGTCGCAAAGAGAAAAGGGCATTATACTATAATAAAAACCTAAAGGCTGAGAATATCTTGTGAGATGCTGGGGTTCAAAATGGCAGCAAGTGAGTCAGAAAAGGCTGAAATATCAATGAAAAAGGAGAAAGAGTTGCATCTCTCAGAGGAATAAAGAAGATCATAACTTCTTTATCCAGGCAATATGTGAGAAATAGCATGAGGTTATGTGAAATGTCTACTAAGATAAAAAGAAGCTGTTCAGAAACTGGCAAAGAACATAATCAAAGCAGCCAAGAAATCTGGATGTAGAAAACATATGCCAGGGCTGCCAGAAATTCACTTGTTTCATTTCTGTTGAGGACAGTGATGAAAAAAAAAAGTTTAACATCTGCAGAGGATCAGAGATTATAATGGATTAAGGACTTCAAGAACTTAGTGAACAAATGAAAATCAGTCTAGTAATTCCAGAATTCCCAGCTTCACATTTACAAATGCAGAAGATAGATAGAACAAAAAATTTTTTTTTTCATGAAAGTAGTCTATGCTGGACAAAATCATCAGAAACAGAACATACATGGCCAAATGTATAGGAAGTAAATTCAATATTCCAAGGGGGATCTTTAACTGCAGTGATGGACATTGAAGTATAATTGGCAGTAGTGTTGTCTGATTTGAAAATGTTGCCTTTTTCCCCCGCCGCTTTCCAATCTCACTAATCAGACTGAGTCCAGCAGAGGTTCTGATGCTGTGAATCTGAGTTTTTTCAAAAGCTGTTCAGGCTTGAAATTCAGACAGTTTGTGTTCAGCTTTGAAATCAAAACTTACTCCAATCATATGTGTGTATTCTACTGTCGTGGTTTAACCTCAGTTGGCAACTAAGCACCACGCAGCCGCTCGCTCACTCCCCCCCCTCCCGATGGGATGGGGGAGAGAATTGGAAAAACACGTGAGAAAAACTTGTGGGTTGAGATAAAAACAGTTTAATAATTGAAATAAAATGATAATGATAATAATATGATAATAGTAATAATACACAAAGCAAGTGAT